AGCAGGAATTGGGCTCTTTCTCACCATGGGACGGGGAAATCCCGGGGCATCTCGGCGACTCATGACTGAAAAGCACTGATCCATTCCACGCCAAAGCGTGTCGTGTAAAGCCTGAGAGAGATAGCTACGGCTGCAACACTAGACCAGAAGTTGTTCCGTGTCCTTTACTGCATACGTGTCGGATCGATGAACCCCCTGCGTCTGGTGGATGGTATCACAGCAGCTTCACATGATCCGGCATTTGCGTACAAAACACCCCATCTACGGTCTCAATCTTCTCCTCACGGCCCCATGTCAGTACCCCCGCCTGCCATTGCATTCGCTTCTTTCCTGCATATCCGATTATCGCATCCCTGCCCCTGCTCCCTTTCGTCGCGCCATACCAGGTTATTCCTTCTCTCCCCACCATATGCACCCGACACCCAGTAGAAACTTTCTTTCATAGTACCAAATTAGCTCCGTCATGTTTTTTCCGGTACACATAGGGGCGGAGCCTCCATGATATCTCCGCCATGCTGGCTGTCTTCGGCGCCCTCCTGGTCGATGACGATGACGAAGAAAGCCACCTGAGCTAACGACGGAGACGTGGGTCACGGCTGAGGCAGATCAGGGGGTCCTGGCCCAAAAAGGAGCTGGACGCGGAAGAGGGGTAGAGGCGAGGGGTGGTCGGAGGAGGAGGAGGAGGAGGAGGAGGAGGAGGAGGAGGAGGAGGAGAGCGATCGATTACCTGTCCATTCGGCCTCGATGTCACTTTCGGACAGGAAGGGAAATTTGCTCATGAAGTCTCTGAGCTGTCTGCTGGCCTGAAACAAATTGGAGGAGGAGGAGGAAGGGGAGGAGGAGGAGGAGGAGGAGGAGGAGGAGGAGGAGGAGGAGAAGGTAAAGAAGATCAAGGGAAAGACAGGAAACAGAAAGAATCAATCTTCTCCATGACCGAAACTTGTGATTCTTACATCTTCGTTTACGTTTCGTTCACTTTCCAAGCTCAAACATTCGCATTCCCTTGATGCTCCCCCGAGAAATATTCTCCCGTCCTGCATCTGCATCCCGTACCTACAAGTCGACGCTCAACTCCTCCCTCCCCTTGTCTTTCCTCCTCCTCCTCTCACCACTGGTCATCGCCTGCAGTGAAGCCGAACTTCCAGGCTGGGGGCAGAGGTCTTGTCATGAGGACAACATCGCATGTCGGTCTGATGATGCTCTCATACTCCGAGAGGATCTGAGGAATCCAGGCGTTGCTGCATACGATCACCTTTTCCACCTCGATCGTCTTCATGCACGTGTGGAGCACTACGCGATCGTCCTTCTCCTCTATCCTCTCAACGACACAGGACGATAAAAGTCTCGCTCCTCTGTCGATGGCATCCTGAAGCAGAGCATCTCGCAGCACCAGCGGCGACACTTTCCCGCCTCCTGCATGAAACATCCCCCCTCGGAAACTTCCAGGGCGGCACCCCAGCACCTCCGTGACTTTCTCCTCGTCCCAGAACTCGCCATGTCCACTCCTGATGAGCTCAAGCTCCTCTTCGTCTATCGCTAGCTCTATGCTTCCTGGAAAGTCCAGGCAGCAAGCCTCAAGTCCGCGAGAACGAACGTACTGACGGATCTCCTCGACCGCGTTCATCTCGAACTCTCCTCGTCCATCCGTCGCATCTGTCGCAGGCCACATGTGTCTCCCGCATCGCCCGGTAGCTCCAGGAGGAGGAAACTTACTTGACCATCCCCTCTCTCCCTCCGTCTCGTTCACTGTGAACGGGGCGCATGACGCCATAGCGCCGGCTTCTAAGATCCAACACGAGGGCACGCATGGCGCAGACGAGCTGCCCAGGCATGTTGGAGCTTCAGCTCTCTTCGTCGCTCCAGCCATCAGCGCAGAAGCAGCGGCAGCCCCAGCCATACCGGCCCCCACGATCGCTATCCCCGACATCGGAACAAGGTCGAGAAAATCGGGACCCGGTGGGTTTTGGTTGAAATAGGGGGTGGTAGAGAAGCTAAGGGGTGGTCTACTCACATAAGAGGGGGTAGGAGTTTCCTCCACAAGAGGGTGGGGTATTTTACAGGAAAGAAGGGGGTAGGGGTATCAAACTCAATTCGAACAACGGAAACGACAAGCGATGAAGCAGGATGAGGAAAGCAGGGAGGGAGGGAGGGAGGGAGAGAGGGATGGAGGGATGGAGGGAGAAAGATGGAAGATGACGAGAGCAGCAGTAGTAGCGAAGAATTAAGAGGGTGAAGTCTCAGCAAGGAGAAGAAGTAGATAACAGGAAAAGAAAGAACAGGGTAAGAAGCCAAAAAAAGTATACCGTGACGACATAAAGCATGTTTGTTGTGACAGAATGTCAAAGATAAATATCAGCCACAGAGGTATATGGCAGATTAGAGACATTTCAACGTTCCAACAGAGCTCATGGGGACACAACACACAAAAACTGAGAGACTGACAAAACTGAACCAACAGCACCTGATCCGTTGTGGTGGGCAGGTAGCAAACATCAAGCCTTAGTCGTTTCTTAGAGGATGAGAGCTGAGTGAACACTCTGAGAGCTGCTCTTCTTCGCTTCCTTCTCGACATGTCTTTCGCCAGGCCAAAAGCTTCTCGCCCTGTTTCCCCCTCCCTCAGCATCCGCGGCTCCCCCGTCGTCTCCAGCAGGGAGAGGCCGCAGACAGCGAGCAAGGAGCAGCTCAACTCTCTTCCTACCGCCGACCTCATCGATCTCAAGAGATCTATCGATGAGAGGCTCGCAGAGAGGAGGGAGTACCGAGGGACCAGAAGCGACGAACCGTGGGATCGACAAGGTTCTCAAGGTAACTTCCTTCTCCTTCTCCTTCTCCTTCTCCTTCTCCTTCTCCTTGTGCTTGTCCTTGTTCTTCTCGTCCTCCTGCTCCTGCTCCTGCTCTTGTTTCCCTGCTCCTGCTCCTCCCGTTCTGACCCCTCGTCTCCAGTGACGATCGAGTATGGCTCGCGCCCTTCCTCTGCCTATCAGCCACGAGCGTCTCCTGTCGTCTCGCGCGCTGGATCGCGGCCAGCAACTCCCGATCGCTTCGTGTCGCGTCCTTCCTCTGCCGGCAGTGCTCGGCCCATCTCACCCTACGAGCAGAGGACGAAGAGGCCCATGACTCCGACGCTCCGATCCTCCGAGCGACTCGTGGCGGACTTGGACAGGATGGAGCCGACGGGAAGGACAAGGATGGAGCGAGGGAGAGGAGGAGGAGGAGGAGGAGGCGGGGGGTTCGAGGACGTGGATATCTTCAGCAACGATAGGAAGCCGATGACTACTTTGGGCACGATGATTCGTCCTCATAGCGCCAGAGTCCCCACTGTGACGGGCAAGATTGGAGCAGCGAGCTTCGGAATCACTCCTGTCAAGATCATTCCCCGCCCTCCCAAGGCTGGAGCTTTCAAGGTCCCCTCCCTCCCTCCCTCCCTCCCTCCCTCCCTCCCTTCCTCC